TATATTCCAATAATAATTTTATCTAATAAAAGTGCAGTGTGACAAGTTAAGTTCTCAAATATGATAGTGTCATTTCTGTACAACTGAATCGGCACCAAAGCAGCTTTTCCTGCCGGAACTGAGCAGTTGGAATACTTCCTGCATTTTTACTGTACTGTAGCTGCATCACCAACCTCTTGCCCCATCTCAGAAGGCGGGCCAGGCTTGGCACTAGGAAGGTAAACCAGGCTGCTAGTACAAGTAACGAAGATAAAGCTACACAAAGAGCCTAAAGCTACCCGAGAGGCAGGTTCTGTTGACGCCACATGGTTTACCACCACATTCATTTTATTACACTTGTTGTCGCAGTTAGCCAAAGCCTTTTTAAATGAAACCATATACTGTACAAGCATTGTCTGGTTCCATGACATTTAATTTAAATGAATTTAATTCCCTGTGTGACTCTTAAGATCTTTTATTACGTGATTAATGGAGAGACAGCACAACAAGGCTGATAAATATTGTTTTCATCCGCAGCGAACAAAAATGCATTATCCTGTTTGTAGACCCTCAGATGTTCACAACAACATATTAAGCCTGGCCTTGATAACTCTGTACCCATTGTGATAACTAAGCTAATTTACTAAATGGCTTTGTAAAAGCAGACATACTGTAGGTTTATCCTCTTGAAGTGCGATTAACAGCCTCACCTTGATGCAGGGCAGCACATGAAGTAATCCCTTTCTACAATTTTCATATAACACATTTATTTTATCAATAACTATACTTACATAATTCTGTTAAAAAAACAATTAACACGTGGTTCAAAACTGAGTAGATGCTCTGAAGAATTGTTTGCAACCTACAGCTTGTGTAGTATGTTGGTTTGTATGGTGCTACTGTATTTTGTCTAATCTGTAAGCCTCTCACTTTCTACGTAATACTGTATGTACTGTATACAACGCTTTGCATCAAGATTGTGCTCCGGGCAGTGAATGCTCTGTTAGCAGGAGCAGACCTCATTGTTTATGATAGATTTGATCGAGTCAACCTCAGAAATTCTGAAAGAAAACAGACTAGGACCAGTAGCTATACAGTATCTGCACCTTATGATTTTGCATTCAATTAAAAAAGCAAAATAATTAATCCTATTAATGTGCATGACAAACACTGATAAAACAGCAAAGTAGTTAGTTAAGTAATGCTGGAATTGAGGTAATCTGCCTACCACACTGCATTATTATTTTGTTTATGTTAATTCAATTAAAAAATATTCAGTCTGTAAATATAAACAGAAAAATAAAATCACACCATGCTTGTTCATTTCCCTGTTGTTGCCACCAATGTTCTAATGCTAATGCTCACCCTCACACAGGGAATTGTTCTAATGGGGTCTCCAATGTCTTCTAGTCACCCCCAGGTTTTAGCCATTGCAATAACTGTGCTAGGAAGTTACATTCTCAATCTCAGGCTTAAATCGATATGAGATATTTCATTAAATCAGTTCACAGACATTTTGTTCACTTCCCACCATACAGCATTTTACCAGCATTTGAAAAGAATTTTGAAGAGCACGGGTCATTTTTTCAACCACCAGAAATGAAATATTCGCGATGTTTTTTTGTGCATCACCATAACACTGAATTGTGATTCGGGCAATATGCCATCGGCACACTTAAAACACACACTCTGCCCACAGTTCTTTTATGGGAAATACAATATTCTTTGAGTTTGCCAGCTCAAGAAATAAAGGCCTTGAACCCTAAAGAGCATCAAACCACAATTTAACAGAAAACAGAAGTGTTGATTTCATTGAAATGGAATCTGCATGGAGAAATTCAAACGAGAGCACATATTGTACTTAAGTATATTTCGTGCTCCTGGATACAAACAAAGCTAATGAAAGGGAACCATTATTCAACCCACTACAATTGATGGTCAGCCTGTTGAAATTGTCGATGACTATACTGTAAGTACTTGGGACTGGTCATTGACAATAACCTAAAATGGGACAAATGTTGTGACACGATCTATAAAAAAGGCCAAGAGAGACTCTTCTTTCTTAGAAAACTCAGGTACTTTAAGGTGGATAAAACTATTCTTACACTTTCCTACAAATCATTCATTGGAAGTGTCTTCACATCCTGCTTCACTTGTTGGTTTGGCAACATAAGTACTGGTAATAGTAACAGGCTGGGTAAATTAGTGAATATAAGTGGCAAAATAATCAAATCAACTTACAGTAAGCATCCTTTACAAACAGAGGGTGACTAAGATTCTTAGTAAGAAAGCCAAAAGCATCAGGCAGTGTGTGTCTCACCCCTTCCATTGTGAATTCACACTTCTCCCATCTGGGAGACGCCTCTGTGCCCCCAAGTGTAAAACCCACAGACTCAGGAAATCTTTCATCCCCACTGCAATCACACTCTTAAACAGTGCAAAGTCACTACCTTGTCTCTTGTCTCTGGTTTCTTTCTCCTGTAACACTGCCGTATTCTCTTCCTTTTTGATCATGCGTATTGTCATTGTGTTGTGTTTGATTGTGCCGTAAAACAAATTTCCCCTAGGGGACAATAAAGCTTGAATTGAATTGAATCCTTACCTGGTTGTAGACCCTGAAATTATTTATTTAGCAAGTGTAAAGTCCCTAGGCCAAGACGATAGGTTCTGGTGCAGGTGTGTTGGAGGTGTATAGTCCCCAACTGAGTGTGTAGATTGGGCAGTCCACTAGGATGTGCTGGACTGTCCGCTCTTTCCCCAGGTACAAAGAGGCCTGCACCAGTTCCCAGTTTACCAAGGCTGGCAGGACAGGGACCCTGACCGGACCTGAAGCAGTTTACAGGCACCTCTCTTTTCCTGGCAGGTGAGAGCTAGGGGTTGTGATGAGGATTCTTTGTTAAGCCATTATTCACATTCTACAGCCCTGGTGGAGTCTGCATTGAAGTTATGCTAGGGAGGGTTTTCCAGTTGGGCTTTCTTGAAGGAAAACCTGTCTTTGGTGGATTATATACAGTATGTCCTCATGTAGTGGCAGGTGAGGAGTGCTTTGGACCTTTGTGAGCATGTTGTGGGATGTGTGGAGGAGTGGGGTGGAGATTAGGATTCCAGTGATGATGTGCTTGGTGACCCAGCTGGGTGTCTACTCTGTGAGTAAGTGAAGAAAGACAGTGCAAAGGCTGATATCCAGAGGCTACAGCAGTAGTGACAGAGCCCCATGTTGTACCAGCAAGTCTGGAGATCAGGTTGTTCCTTGTTTTGACCGAAAAATCATCCAGGATGTCAGAGAACCCCAGTGTAACGTCTGAGGATCTGCAGGACTCTTTTGCTTTGACAAACAACTTCCTGCCTCAACTATCAGGAGAACAGTGAATAGGAATGAATTTCAAGGACAAAAAGCCAGAAAGTAACCCCTGTTCTCCACAAAGAACTGTCGCCTGGCTATGGTTTGGCAAAGACCACCTGGACTCCTCGCATACCCAAAATGAAGAATGTTTTCTGGACAGAAGAGTCAAAAGGTGAACTTTTTAACTACAGTGAAAAGTGTTTGTGTCATTACTGAACCTACAGTAAATGTTCATGAAGTATTCACACACAGATATTTAACTTCAAAATAATCTGCATCTTTTATCAAGGCTTTCATTAAGCTCTATTTACATTTTAAGTCTAAAATACACAAGAAAACCAACCTAGGTTGACAAAATTTTTCTCAGCCCTGTATGAATATTCCTTCAAGTAATCTTAATGAAGGATGAAGAGACACATTGCTGAGACAGGGTCAGTATTTTATTCAATTAGATGGGGAACAAAAGAATGCTGATTTTACCAAAGATATTACAGGAAAAACAAGACTATGTTGACTTTTCTACTGTTGCACTACACAGTGGATAACTTAGTGCAGGGGTTTATGGGGAAAGGGGAAAACTATAGGTCTGGTTTAGTCTAATTTTTTTGGAGGGGTGAGTTGAAGCTTTAACTCTGAGATTTAAAATGGTAAAAAAAAAAACACCGCCACTGGATTAAAAAAAATAAACAAGCTGATGGAAACCAAATTCATGCTGCCAAAAAAAGTTAACGCACAGCAATCAGCCACGAATGTTTCTGGATTAAGAAGTACTTTTTGTTGACTAGACAGCACACAAAGCTCCTGTCACTGAAATGTTATGTAGCACCATGACACACAGTGAATGCTTTTAAAAAACTATCATATTTTGTTTCTCAAGATTATCACGTGGTTATTTTTTCCAATTTAACACAGACGAATTCATTTTATTTATAGGAATGTGTAAACATTTGTATTCGTGTTTTGTCTTCATCTATACTGTATAGTACCTGCTAGCTAAAAGTAGACACTTGAGAAACACAGACATTAAGTAAACATCTACAGTCCATGTGTGAATAACAAACATGGAGCTGGTGTATAAATATTGACAGGCTATGCCAATTATTGACAAATGAAGTGTTTGTCAGCCACAATGCCAAGTGTGGGAACCAAATTTTTTTTAGATTGTGAATAAAGTGGCTGCTTTTCAAAATGTAAGTGAAGCCTACGGTACATCTCGCCAAAGGTGAAGATCAAAACCCATGACATTAAGTTAAATTTATCAGTAGTTGCATAATTAATATCTTAGATATCTGTTGCCAGCTTGCAGTCTACCATATTGTAAATGAATAAGATAAAGCTGTTTAAACTGTATTAGTCAAAGGATGCATCTGTGGTATTCAGTCAGAATTCAAATGAACTCGAAGCGGTTGATTCAAAGTTGTTAGAATTTAAACTACTTCACCAATCAAGTTTCCAAGATCTCGTGTCAGAAATACTTTACAATGGTTCATCTGAAATGTGAAAAAATGAGTTGCTTCATTTCTTCTGTAGATGTTACTCAAGCTTTGTTACTGGAACAATAGTTTCTGAGACATAAGTGACCCGCCACAATGTAGTGATATTTCATATATTTCTGAAGTGATATTAGGTAAGGTGCAGATCAATACTTTTTCACATGAACAAATAAGACAGTACACAATTAAATCTTGAGCCTTCTCAAAGTAGTACAGTTTATTAGAGCAAATCATCTTTATTATTTAAAAAAATCCTTCCAGTACTAAAAACCAAAGCACAATCCAGGTCTTTCTACAAAAATTCCAATTTAAAATAAAAAAAAGTATTTTTCATTGAAACAGTATGTTTGGCACATGGTCATCATGTGACATTCTTAAGACCTGAGGGTGTTTTACTTCTAAAAAAAACAACAAACACCTTACTGGAGATATACTGTAGGGGATACAAAATCACACAAGACAAACCTAATCCTTTACTTTTTAAATTAAAGAGATTATCTTTTCTCTCCTAATATTATGAAGCATTTACTTACACAGCCCAAAACACAAAAAACAAACAAGGTATGTTTACATTAACGTATCACTTCTTACCAGTATATTTTTTTAAAAGTACTGTATTTTAAAGGGAAAACACATTTTATTACCTTTACTGATAACTAGGAAAAATGTGTGTGAAGGCTGAGCATTAGTGTACAACGACAAAACAGTTCCAGAAGGATAAAAACATTAAATTTACAAAACCTGAATGGTTATCAGTATTTTAACAGTTCTTACCAAAATAACCAATTTTTAAAACTGTAGATTGGCACAGTTTATTCTGCTGACTAAAATATTGCTACCGGAGGCAAGTAACAGAATTTTAACAAATGGCATTGGAGAATGTACTTTTTAAATACTGGGACAGGACTGACTTGAGTTAATGGCTCACTAAACGGAACATTTTTAGCAACTCATCAAGTAAATGGGAGCGAGTCCTTTAACAACCCACAACTGCCTGCTTTCAATTACAGAATAAGGTTGTTACGCTTCCTTTATGAACATTTATATTTTAATACATCAATACTTTTTCCAACTGTTTATTCCAATTCAGCTCAGGGAGGAGCCAGAGCCGGAGCCTATCCCAGCAAGCCACGGGTGCAAGGCAGGGTACGCCCTGGGCGGGACGCCAGTCCTTTGCAGTGTAGGTACAAACACAAACACGCACGCACTAAACACCAGGGACAATTCCCCCAGAAGCCAATTAACATACCAGTAAGTCTTTGCACTGTGGGAGTAAACCCACACGGTCATGGAGAGAACATACACCCCAGGTCCAGGATTGAACCCAGGACCCCAGCAGGGCGAGGCAGCAACGCCACCGGTATTTCACGTGCGTTCTCAGTTATTATGGAAGATAACATGGGCTTCGGTGTGAGCTGTGCACTCAGGAACACTGTGGGCCAGGTGAATATGCACCTGTGAGGAACCCTAATACAACAGCCTAGATCATCTAATCCAGCCCGTCCTCCAGACTCCCCTCAATAAAAAGGAAGACTGAAGACATGAAATATGACATGCGTTTGAAATAAAAACGCAGCTTTGGAAAGTGGTAGTTAATTTTTCCATTTAAAAATGGTTGGAAAAATAAGCTAGTGTTCATCTGTGGCAAGAGAAAGTGGATAACGTTTTGCACTAAATCCAAAAAGCTTTGTGTCCTTTTGCTAAACCGTTCTAACAAAAGCTAATAATCTGTTTTTAATCATCATTCATTTCAGCTAAATCTAATTTCCACTTACGTCACTGCTGTCTTTGTCTCATTTTTAAAGGTTAGTGTTCACCAAAAGTGATTTTTACGTCTTCGTATAATGGAATGACAAATTACTAATGTACTAAAATAGTTATTTTTTTATTTAAACTACTTGGACATAATAATACACTGTTTTGTTTATACACTGAATTCACAAAATGAACATCTCCTCAGATGGGTTACGTCTCATTGAATCAAACAACTGAAACAAGGAATTGTTTTAATACAATTTGCAAGTAGAAAAGAGGCTACTTGTTTGTTAAGATACTAATTTCTAACTGCAAACATCATATACTGTATATAATTTACCAGCCATATAATAAACGCCATATAGGGTTCCAGTCCATTCTCGAGTCGAGTGCTAATAACATAACATCATTTAAAATAAATTGTAAAATAAGGTGTTAAACAGCTTTACGTGGTCTGATTGTCTGTCTCAAAACATCCATTTCTGAGCAACCTTGCTTAAATTATGCATTTGCACAAATAAAATGACACAATACTTAAAGAGTCCCCTAATATTTACAAAACTTCTGCAGCCAAGTTACCACGGCTCTTCAGTGCAGCTATATAAAGATTCCAGGGTGGGGGCTCTTAAAGAGAAGTGTTAAAACATGGACGTCTTTCACAAGCCGTAAATAACAAAAACAAAACCAACCTTCCATATGGCTTTAGACCTGACTGCTGCAAAACAAAACAATGACAAGCAAAGTTAAGGAAAATGGTCAATTATAGCGTGAATTATGCCCTTCAAGTACTAAATTCCCCAATAATCACCTGCTTTAGTCCTATAAACGGAGAGAAACAGTTCAAAATGACCGTACAATTAAACTGGGGAAGATCTGTAGTCTTCAATTCTTTTTTTAGCACACAACTGTGTAAATTGCTAATGAACTCCTATTTACTTTAGGAACATGGGCAATGCAGTCCTATAAAGGGATAAATTCAGGTTTGTTTCAGGTGAAATGATTTTTTTACCTGCTGTACGTGCATCGCAGTAGCCTAGTTACACTGAACTCTGCAGTGGGAGAACCGTCCCTTTCCATCAGAAAAAAAGGAGGTTTATTTCGCTTACTACAATGTTATGGGATTCTTAACATATGCTCTCCTTCTTAACTTATTAATCCCTGTAGGGATAATAAATAATAACATGTGACATATAATATATCGCTTGCTCCCTGTTGAATCCTATTCCTGTTCTTCTCACATTCCTTTTTTTAGCAGGATGTGAACTGTGTGTAATATGTACTTTTTGGGGTGAAACTAAAACTTAAATCACATAGCCTTTGTTTGGATTTAAAAAAAAGGATCTGAGAGCTTGATCGAAATACCACTTACGTAGCCACAAGCAAGGCTCTACCGATCTGTACTTTTGGGACTATCAAATCCTAGTTCAGAAGCAGCAGGCCATACTTAGGAGAATGGTACAAATCAACTGCAGATGCATTTCAATACACACTACCTGTCCCAGTACCCTCTTGTCTTCCGTTCATTTTCCTGCCCAAGAAGACTGAACAAACTCAAGATACTGACATTCTTCCACACAGGACAAGAGATTCTTCATTTAGCACTTTTCATCTTTCGTCTTAGACTCCATCATTCATCACCAAGTTTCAAAGCATTTGCATAGCTTGAACGTGTCTATTCTCCTGTTCCTTGTCACACAACTGAGAAAAATGATTCCTCATCTAAATGAAAAGTGAGCTCTTTGATCAAGTATTAAAAAGGCACTGCTGTTTGTGGTTACATGTCTTTCCATTTAGCAAAGACAAAACAACAATTAAGTTCTCAATTAACATTAAACATCAATGTATTTAGTACCTTTCTTAAACATCACCCTCTTAATTCTCAAAACCCAAGACCAAAATAGTTCAATTTTTTCTAATTCTTGTTCATTTCTTCTAACAATACTTAAAGTCAGCTTGCACTAAAACTATGTTTGACATTTACAGTAAAGTGTTGGGATGTTTGTTATGTATGTTACCAAAATGTATGCAGCTATTTAAAACATTATTAATGTTGGTTATTTATATCAAGTTCTATTTTGTCATTGTTCAATTTAATTAAAAACAAACAAAAATAAAAAGAATCAATATAAGTACTGTGATGGAGTGTTCTTGCAGACAATCAACAAGGTTACAAACAGAACACTAACCAGCAATACCACTGCATGCCTGGACAAAACCATTGTTTTTTTTAAAGGTACAGGTGTATATATACACAAAGCTGAAGAGAAAAAAAAACTTCACATGCAAGGTACTAAAATAAAAACGAGAATTGTGTCTAAACATAAGGCTACCTTTGAAGTGGTAAATCTAGAATCTCATTAACTCTATCACAGGCATAAAAGTTAAAAAAGAGAATCAACCAACAATGACAGTGCAGACGACACGTTTGTGCAAAGCATAAAAAGCTTTGTTTGTTTGTGTTTAGGGAAAAAAAAAATCCTAATGGTAAGTAACAAAAAACAAGAGCATACCACCCCGAAGGCCTACAGACGTGTGGCGTGGCTGCAGTCTCTTTATCCCCGTGTGTTTAACAATCCCATCGCTCTTCCAACAGACAGATGTGAGGAGAGAGATCACCTGCAGGCAAGAGCACCTGCTGACGGGACTCCTGTTTCTGCCATCTCACAGCGGATTCGCGCTAGTGTTGCCGGATGACACAAAAGGTCTTTTATCCAAACGAGTTTCTTCAACAGAGACCCCCTTTCTCTTTGCAAAGCCTTCCTAATGAAGCTTACATCACGTTTTATCCCTAAAAAAAGAAGACACAACGTGCTTTTATTTAAAATAAAAAGTAAGGCAGCTCTACTTGGCTACCCCCTTCGAACAGCCAACCTGCAGCTCACATAGAAATTGGCATCGGTTGCTGTTTCTTTCAATGACCAGTCTCACACTTCACTGAATGAACCAAAAACAAAAAGGCATAAACAATTTTCACAGCATAATTCTGGATGCATAATCTGCTTACAGCAATTTGTATGTTTGCTGACAGCATATAAATATAGTGAATATCTGTAGTGATATTTAGCTTAGTCAAGATGATTTTTGCATTGCATTGCTCACTGCCAACAGAAGTGGCAGCTCCATGTGACAGACAAATCAAAGACATGAGGTTGAAAGAAACTGTGTTTCAGGTAGTGTATGAACCTTTAGCTCTCCTTCATTTCCATTCCAAAAGGGCTAAAAAAAACAACTCAATTGCTCATCAGAGGAACATCCGAGATCTTCTTACTCTAACCAGAGAGAAGCTCCTCTTCATGATGTGACTTTTCATTTTCCCCCCACATAACAGTAAAACACACTTAAAAAATAACGCTGTAACTGAAAACTGACATTTTCAAGGGTCAGAAGGGGGGGGTTGGATAAATACTGAATAAGGAAGGTGAGAAGTGGACAATTCTTTAGAATGCTGATAAAAGAAATGTATAGGGACTGATTCCTCATCAGAAGGACTGAATTCACAATTTCTCACAATGGATAACGCTTACATATAATGAATACAGTTTCTTTAGGTCTCCCTAGAACTCCAGGGCTTTGTGCTGTCGTGTGTCTTCAGAGGGTTTCCCCTGGGTGGTGGGGGTCCAGGATAAGGGCAAGACAGAGCTCATTTCTTGTCACTTGAGCGCAGGTTTCCTTCAGTCTGTGGCGGGCTGCTTTCCGCCTGCCTGTTTTTGTTCTGCTGAGTCTCTTCCAGGTACTGCTGCACTGCCTTAAGGACTGCATTCTCCACCAGTCTCTTACTGAGGCTCACGAGCTCCGCGTCGTTCGGTTCTGCCGCAGCCCTTTCACCTACACATCACGACAGACAACAAGGGGTCACTCAGAGAGCTCTCCATGGCAACCGGCAGCCGGGCGCCCTGCACCAGGAGCACTCCGCTTTCATGACCCCTACACGTGGGAGAACTCGGCAGACACTTCATCACGCAGCACCAAAACACGGGGTCACGGGTAACGAGGTCCACGACCAATCACATGAGATGTTACTCAGTTTGTAGGGATAATCTCAAGATGAACTTATCACACTAAAGAATACAGCCACAGCACTTAGCTTAAATGGAAATTATTATTTGTACTATGTCTTCTAAGCCTGCTGCATAACTACAGCGTTCACACACACACATAGAGAAAATGGCCTAATAAATTGAGCAGTATTATTTTTCACTATCTGCAAAATAAAAATACAAATCCATGTGCACCTCATTGTTCTCCCAGTATGAATCATTTGTGAACGATTTTACCTGCACATGCATATTGTCTAGAATGTAACTGTAAAGTTAAAGTTGGAGATAAAAATCAAGTTTTCAATTAAGCTGAAAGTTCATATTTTGTACTATATAAGTATAGAACTGTGCTACCATTGCATGGCTAGATTCGTCTCGTACAGCGAAACAGTGATGATCTGTGCTGACTCTGCTATTTACTGCAGTATAATGAAATGAAAATTCCCAGCTCTAATGTAATACATTCACTAAAACCAATGCTGTGACCAACAGGAAAATGTGGACTTTGATTTGCCATGGGAAGACTGCCTTGTCTGTTCACTGTGCTGAAGCTGCCATGTCTGTGTTTCTAAACTGAGATGAGATTTTCATAGACATTTTATCAGTCAATTAGCATGTAAGTATACGCCTCAGGGGGAAAAAACAACGAATATTTAAAATCACATTTCAACTCATCACAACAAAGAATCTGGAAATCAACACAGATGATCTAAGCAGACGCTAGGGATGTGAAGGGGATTCCATTTTATAATGAACTCGGACAACTTACTGCTAACAATGAAATGAAAACTGACATTTGTAACAACTGTTTTCCCTTTCTGGGATAATACCACCAGTCATTCTTGTTCCTGTAGTTTTAAGTAAGAGTATGGGACTCATCCAAGATTGGACACTAGCTCAATGTCTTTCTTCTTTCTAATCTTTCTGTAAGTCTTAACTACAAGGTATTGTTACTTAGTTGTCCTCCGTCAGAGCATATTTACTACAAAGAAGCCCAGTTGTGTTCCTTGCTAATTTTGTATTAGCTTACATTTAATGTACTCATTTCACTTGGGTTGTAAAATATTTAATCAATTCAGTTATGCAAAGTGCAGAAACAAAAATCACACTGAGTTAAAAAGATTTAAAAGATAGCTGGCTGACAACGAGCTGCTTGTTTCTACACTAAAGGTACTGATTTGGCCAATACCACCTTTTCTTAAATAAATAAACCTCAGAGGCATTTAATTTTTTAGGTAAAACTGCTTTTTTTAAACCACCCCAAGTGACATTATTTCAGTTTTGTGATAAAAAGATAATGTGCCAATGGGCTTCAAGCTACCAATGACGCCACAATATCAAACTTAATTATGGTCTGATGTTTTTAAATAATAGCAACAAAAAATGGACTCAGTTTTTTTTTGTTAAATTTAGAACAGTGCCGCATGCATTACCCTCCTGAACACAAGCTGAACAAAGTCAAACAATAAAGCTGATTGCCACTGAATCATTTCAACACAGAATCCTAATTTCTTTTAAGCACTCCAAACGGGTTAATTGTGACTTATTGTTGATCCTAACTGCCCCAGAATGAATCAAATCCTACAGAGAACCACAGTGAGTCTGCAGCATGATTCTCAACCTGTATTTTACAAAAATGCCTCCTCTTCAGCTACTAAAGAAATACATTAAACTTTCTGATGAGAAAATCACTTAAATACAGATATATAAATTTAAAACGTTCATACTTTCTTTTGTATATCAAATATCTTTGTAAGGTATAACTGTGGTAGTTTCTTCTAATCTTCATCTAATTTTTTCACGTTCATGTTATTTTTTTTGATTTTTTGTCTTTTGTATTCGTTAGTAGACTGCAAATATTTTTTTAGAAGAACTTGGCTTTGCATAATTGAAAAATATAAAAAAATCACTATCCTTTCATATATTCTGTGTGTAATTGGTAGCAATGAAGCCTGGTCCCTTTCAGATCTTACTTGCGAGTCTGCAGAAGACCGGCAGCCTTAAACCTACAAAGTGTAACAGTGTGAATAACACGCGCACACACACACAACACTTTTTTTGGTGCTATTTCCATCTTGTGAACCTACAAAATCTGCAACAAAACAAACAGTCGTAAACTAATAACTGCAGTGCCAAATGTTATTTCACAGGAAGCAAAGAAGCATAAAGATATAATAGCCTTTCCCAATGAAACACAACCACAAATCAAAATGACCCTTAAAAGGTAGGGCTAAGGCAAATAAAGTCTTGTCCTGAAAAAAATGTTTCCCGAAAAAAATGCATGTATTGTATTTTTTATGCAGTCCTTATTTTTACGCAAGTATTTCATGTTCTTTGGCAATGATACCAAATTTAAAATAATCACCTTATAAACCACAAAAAGCCAAAAATGATATTAAGCTATGCCATATATAGCTGTCCTATCATACCAATCTATGTATTTCTGATTGTATTTTAAAGTAAAGAAAATAAACCATTGTTCTGAAATGGAAATTGTATTAAGAAAGAAAAAATATTTTGGTGCTGGAAAGCCAATATATTGAATTCCCCACTGGAGGAAGTTGTTGTTTGCATCTCAGTTTAGAAATGATAGGTTTCACAAATTGCAATGTGCAGTTTCCTAATAAACTTCACAGAAATTACCTTGCCTTTCCTTATTTTATACTGAACAAAATTCATGGTAGAGGAAAAAAAGCTCAAATCCCAAAATACTACATAGTTTAGAATTGCTCTGAAACAATGGAAAAAGAAGCTCTACCTGTAATCTCATAACTGCTGTGGTAAAGAGCAAATACCTAAATGAATGCAAGGAGTAATACAACATAATTGTGGCTCTCTATCATGCACACATCAAAATGACTCTAGGAACTGGAGACTTAAGATGAGATCACTTTATTGGCGATATACAATGTCTTGTATTAGGAATTTGTATTTTCGCATTTACAATCTGACTACAATACAATTTATTTTCTTACAAAATGCACTTGAAAAGTAGGCACTTTAGAGCCTTTAAGCTTCAGCATTAGACTGCACAGTGGAAAGAAATGTTGATAGCACACTGGCATTAGTTACCATAGCAGACAAATGTTGAAATGGTTGTCAAAGGCACCGGGTGTCATAGTCCATATTGTTCAATACAAGTAGAAAACACACCTAAAAAATTATGACTAACAAACTGTATATTTGTTCTGCATTCAGCAGGTATAACAAAGAAATTGTTTGAAAATAAACTTGAGGAAACTAAGTAAAAAAGGGAGAAGGATCATTAAAAGCCTGTCTTTTGATTGGCTGGTACCTTGATGGATTGCCACCTAGTTGGTAGCTCATGTTGGTAACTTGCGTGAGACTCCATGACCAGTCCACACAGCGTGTGGAACGGTGAGACTGTAATGCCACAGCTATGCCTTTTCTACACCACCCCGCTTTTGAAAACAAAGAAGCAAAAAGATATAATAGCCTTACCCCACATAAACCACAAATCAAAATGTGCCTTAAAGGTTGGGATAAGGCAAATAAAGTCTTCTCTTGGAGAAAAATGTTTACTGAAAAACATTTATTTTTCATGCAGTCTTAATTTGGTTGGACTGAAAATACTCTGTTCTTCGACAGCACAAGTAAGAAGATACAATAAACTACGCCTCTGTTTGTAAGCCTTTAGCCTCACACACGCCTTCTGCACCACTAAAATTAAATGACAATATAAGGCATAGTTATGATTTGGGTAATCCATAAAGTTGAAATATTTCTTGAT